AATTTGATTTTTTTAGACATCAGTAGATCTTTTGTGATTCAATTTTATTAAATTTGAATCCAGAAAATTAAAATTCAAATTGAACTTTAATTATTTTTTAAAAAAAAATAATTAAAGTTCAGAGATTATTTGTCACTCACACTAAATGAACATATAAATGTTTTCCAGTGTGTGTCTGTGTGATGGTGGGATATACCAGATCTGCACCAACAACATCGGTATCCCCAGGGTACCCTTGGCAGAAGCCAGTGGCATGCATAAACTGCCAAGGAGGGTCTGGAGGAGATGGATGGGAAGGGGTCACTCCCTCTCCATCAGATCATGCCAATGAATATCATGTGATTAGCATCTTAGCTAACCATATAAAATCAAACCTGACAAATGTCATCAACGACCAATATGTAAGTTGAAAAATATTTCTTTTAATATTTGAAAGAACTGATGTGTTTTAAATCTAGAGCATAGTCCATAGTAAGATTTACAAACTACTAAAAGTAAGTAGTAACACTTTGAGCGCAGCATTTTCAAATATTAAACTATTTAATGACCAGATGTGTTAATCAATGACTAATCAAATAGAAATATTGCATACAATTTTTTGTTATCAAAAATATTTTTTTTGAGCCTCTCAAAAGAAATCATGTTTATGGTCTAAGAAATCAACTGAGCTACACAATTCCAAATAAATCCTCATTTTCTAATAGATCTTGCATATCAAAAACATTAACTGAATGGAATAAGCTTTCACCTGAAATAAGAAATTCACCTACCCTTAGTATATTCAAATCCAGGCTTAAAATAGATCTATTCAATGATGATGTTACAAATTCATTAGAACTCTCCATTTCAAGAAAACAAGAAATAATTTTCAATAGAGTGCGATGTGATCTCATTTTTAAGGCTCACCCCTATGCTCATAATTTCACTAATGTAAACTCCCCCATCTGCCAGTGTGGTATGGATGGCGAAACAACCAATCATGTAATTTTTCACTGTAATCTAAGATCAACATTTTGAACAGAATTTGAAAATGAATTAAAAAATATGAACATAGAATATTCTACTAAATATAGATCACAACGAGACAAACTCTCCCTTATCCTCAATGGTGATAAAAAGCTGTAAACATAAATATCCTCAAATGTAGTGCCATCTTTTTTGAACGATGTAAAAATGTCTCGGTCACCCCCACCACTGTAACCCTCCACAAATACAACCCCTTTTTTAATGTCTGATTGAATACTGTTAATTGAGTTTTATCATATAACGTGGCTGATAATGCTGATGCATAGCCACAAGCACATGTGCACTTGTTTAATGTATTCTTTGTAGAAATATATAAATAAATAAAAAAAATAAAAAAAAATCTGTAAACATAGCCTCTTTTGTTTCAGTTGGGAAAGGGTCTGATCTCAAACAGTGACAAGGAAGAACTTGATAAGTACTCTTATCCTGCATTTGGCGAGTTTCCCACTCTCCCATCCCTTCCCACAAACGATGTAAGTATATGTTATTCAATATAATGTTTTCAGCTGTAAAAACTTTACAATTTCTAAGTTTTGACAAAAATGTGTTTTGAATTTCAATGCACACTTTTAAAAAGAAACTTTTTACTTTTCTAGGTCAGCATTTCTCTTAAACGAGCTTACAGTGATATCCAGCTTGTGTCATCTTTCATCGAACAAGTGCGCATCGAACATGACCTCCAAACTTTAGTGGACCCAATGAGTGCTGAAATGGCAGGTCACATCAAGGTATACCTTCAAAACACAGGGCTTCACAAGCTTTCCATGGAAATGTGCTGTACTGTGACTTCACATGGTATCATACACCCTAATGATGTCACAATGGAAGGTGCCAAGAAATATGCCTTCCCAGAGTCTCACAACTATTATGAAAGATACAGACGGGACTATCTCATTCTCAGGGATAGTGCAACTGTCATGGCCCACATCCACGCAGAGTTTAAAAGGCACCACGATGCTTTGATCTAAGTGGACACAAATCTCAATTCAACATCTCCGCAGTTAGTGGACTTAACCTTATTATTGTATGTGTGTATCACACAACTTATTAACATGTAATTAAAATGCAATTTAAACTGCTTTCTAATAAGTATAAAACTTACTTTTGTGCCACAAAATTAGTTTTAAGCATTATATTTAACAGTATTACATGGAGCATTTTATTCATGTTCATTTTAAATCACATACTTCCAATAACGTTTCTAAATATTTATTTTATGGCATTAAGTAATTAGAATTCCATGCACATGTAGGTTTGTACAGTTGTTGGTGTACACTTTGTTCAGTTAGTACATATTGTATGCCATATTCGATATTCATATTTCATTTATGAGAGTTGATACCTAAGGAATGTCACCCTAATTATTAGGAGGAAATTATTACAAGGAAATTGCTAAGTCTGCAAGTCGTGAAATTTCATCTTGAAAATTTCGAAATTTGACCTTTTTTCAGTTTTTGAGTTCCAATATCTCAAAACTGGTGCTTAATTTTAATAATAATAAATAGTCAATTGCTAATATGTGTAAAAATTAAGAGGAATATATATACTGAATTTCATTTAAAAAATATTGATTTGTAGTCACCAATTTTGAGAAACTTAGAAAACATGGTTTGTGATTTAGTTTGACGACCTTGACCTTTGACCTTGCAAATTTTACTTTTTTAGACCTTGGTTCTTTTGTGATCAAATATACCTAAATTTGAATCCAGAAAATCAATTTGAAAAATCTTTTTTTGACCTTTCGAAGGTTACTGAAGGTCAACCACAGGTCAAAGGTCAAAACTAAGATCACATTTGAGTTCCTGAGAACTTGTAGATGATTTTTTAAACAAATTTGAACAATTTGAAACAAGTTGAAAAATGACCAATTTTTACTGTTTATTTAGGTCAATTATCTCAAAGATGGTAAAAAATTAACGCAAAAATATAGTGAGCAATTTGTAGGGAATGCTAATATCTAGTTACATTTTAATTCATCGCAAGAAATAATGAAGTATGAGGATGAATTCTTAGAAATCTTAAAAAAAAACTTTGATTTGACCTAGATTTTGACCTTTGACTTTGACGTAGATAAAAGTTTCTTTCCTGCCAATTTCAGCCGAGGTCCCTAGTAGGAGCATATAAGAGTTAACTCAGACCTAACTAGAAGTAGGAGAAAAAGTGCTAAAAAGAATAATAAATAAATAAAGAAATAAATAATAACTACAAAAACTATAGGCGGTCCCTTGAAGGGCTTCCTAATAACTAGAATTTAAAGATTGCAAGCAATCTTAAGGAGGCCCAGTAGGCATTTTTGACAATTTGAAGGTCAGCAAAAGGTCAAATCTCAAGCCTAAGGTCAACACATCGTCAATTTAATGGTCATCTTTTGAATGGTAACAATATAATTTGAAAAATACATATGTACTTTCATCTACAGGGTGTCAAATAAGTCCCGTCCCCCCTCTACAGCCAAAACCAAGATATTTGGTACCAAGTGTAATATACCATTGGAAAGGTCTTCCAAAGTTACGTTGATTGGCATATATCTGACACATGTCAATCAATCTCACAAATTTTTACATTGTATCAATTGAGGAGACCATAGGCCTAGAAACATTGCAATTTGGCGTATTTGGCAGGATTTTAAGAATCAGATATTATATATAAGAAAGGTCAAAGGACCAAAAGTTGATTAAACATGTATATGGCAATGAATTTTACCAATTTCTGGATAGGGTTAGATGTGTAGAAAATAGAGGTGCAAGGAAAGTGGTGAAAACCTTTTTGTAACAAGTGGAATGCGAAAAAGATTAACTTTTTGACGTAATTCTGAGGTGATATCCTTGTCATTTTGACGCAAAAAAGCTGCTTAAAGGAGGGTACATCAGTCATAAAGGACATCATAAAAATATAGGGAAACTTCATCCAAAATACTTGAGAGTTGGTGAGGTAACATAACTTTAGATGATCTTTCCAATGGTATATCACACTAGGTACCATCTATTAAGGTTTTAACTGTAGCAGGGGGGACGGGACTTATTTGACACCCTGTATATTGTTTTAGAAAACACATCAAACATCTTTATTAGGGGCAATCTGCGCGAGGTTCCATTTTTGGTTCAGTTCTTAAATAATGATCGCGTGATCGCACTTGACCAATAGAAAATGGTTTAAATCAGGTCTTCAGCTAGTGGCCAATTGTAAGAGTCATACTGATTACTGCTCGGAAATCGAGTATTGGACAACTATTTGTCCTGTCACATGCCTCTTTATGGGCACCATTGTTATTTTGGCAAATCCACATCCTGTTTGTTCCAGTTAGGTGGGATGGGTTGGAATTTCATTCGTTGGGATAATCAGTTCAAAACGTTCATATGTTGAAACATCCCTAACATTTTCATATGAATCCATGAAACTGTTTGGCTGGAAACCTGTAAACAAGCCTTGACAGACAAAATTGTAGGATGGCAAATCAAAAATGGCCGATTTAACATTTACCCAGATTGCCCAAAAACAAATCAGGTAGAATTATTCCTGAAAATTTCAGATGAATCCCTGAAATGGTTTGGCTGGAAACCTGTAGACAACCCTTGACAGACAAGATTTAAGGACATAAACCTAAAATGGCGCTCTTAACATTTACCCAGAGTGCCCAAAAACTAATCAGTTCTAAACTTTCATATGTAGAAACATCCCTGAAAATTTCAGATGAATCGCTGAAATTGTTTGGCTGGAAACCTGTAGACAAGCCTCAACAGACAAGATTTTAGGAAGGAAAATCCAAATTGGTCGCACTAACATTTACCAAGAATGCCCAAAAACTAATCAAATCTAGACTTTCATACTTAAAATCATCCCTGAAAATTTTAAACAAATCCCTCAAACGGTTTGGCTGGAAACCTGTAGACAAGATTTTTGGGACACCCAAAATTCTGCTGAATGAACAATCAGCATGTAGTTACCTAAACAGACATTTTTTCACTTGTACTTACTAGCAGAGGTTGCATACGAAGAGGGCACTGTGAATGACATATTCTGCATGACACTGACTCGAGGTGTTTCCATTCTTGCAAGTAGGATATTGGGAGGTGGTCGCATTCGTATAGTTTGCGCATTTGTGTCCCGCAAATATGCCACAAGGTCTGAAGTCAAGAATAAAATGTAAAGCTAAAATGAAGAATTAATGATATAAACTCTTAGATGCCATAGCATTTTTCGTTTGTGAAGTTCATTTCAGTAACAGCAGTAAATACATGTAGCTCATTTCACACTATATTTCAAAACATAATTTGTCTATATTGGACACATTTGCTGGAATTACCACTGCGAAAAAGTATGAAAATCATAGGAATTATTAACGTATATATAGCAATATAGAAGGTCAGGTAATGCAATATATCCTGAGATTACCACTTGTATTATATAAAAATGAGCCGAGAGGGACATGGTTTTAATATTGGTTTGTATCTGTCCAACAAAAGTGGAGAACATACCTGTATGAACAATCATTTTTTTGGAATGGGCAGGTGGATTGTTGCGTTTGATGGGAGCAAATCCACATCATTGTAATTTTCGAAATGTCTCTTGTTATTTATGCAATGACATATTTTAAGATATTGGCTTTTTAGGTATAAATATTTTCGAAACAAATGCGTGATATATACACATATTTTATACCAAATGCGTGACATAAATGGCAATCGCGTGCAAAGACCGAACGGAATGCATTCGCTTTTTTTCGCCGTTCGGTTTTGTACCGTATCGGCATTTCACAAAAAACGATTTTTAAAAATATCAACAAAATGAGTGATTTGCGTGATATTTGATCATACACGCTAAATTGATGCATAATTTCTATTTTTCCAGCAAATGCGTGACAATCATGCCTAATGCGTGAGGGTTGACAGGGCAGAAGTGAGATCAACCTGATTAATAATTTTGAAGCTCAAATGATCCATATAAATAAGGAGGACATCAACAATAAACTAAATTCATCAACCCAAAAGGATTATCCTACCTGAAAAATTGAGAATATGTTGTACAACATACCTGTACAGATGAGGAATTAAGAAACCTAGCAAAGTTACCACTGGGTTGTAATTATAAAGCATAAAGTTTGTCATTGCATAAAAGCCCAACTTTATCATTAAGCCTCTTACCTTGAAATGATATGAGATCTTTATCTAAGACATGTCTCTTAAGTGTCCACCACTTTCCCCTCAGCCACTGTGGAGACCTGGCACTAAAATAAAGGAATAACATCAAACATTTAGAATGGAGTTTCATGGAAAGAATATTGCACTTGTGTGTTATTTCTGCAATACATATAGTAGTATTCTGCAATACATATACAAGTATTGCTACTTTTGTTATAACGTATTACTATTTGTTGAATGTCTTGTTTAATAAGGTTTCATAAGTGAACATGCTCAGAGAACACTTTTAGCAAGTACCAGCAGCATTCACTTTAGAAAGGTTTACAAGAACACAAATGTGTACATGTCCCCACCAATGGGTGATCCTCTATACTGCAAATTTTTCATCCTTAATGCCTTACACAAATCAGTTGAAAAGACAAGATTATCAGAGAAAAATCAGTTCCAAGATTTTCATACTAAGAATCATCCCAGAAAAATCGATCCCTCAAATGGTTAACCTGAAAAAGAAAAGACAAGTTTTTAGGACTGAAAATCCAAAATGGCTGCCTTAACATTTACCCAGAATGCCGAAAAACTAATTAGTTCTAGGTTTTCATATTATAAATCATTACTTAAAATTAGAAATCGATCTGTCAAACAGTTATCCTGGGTAAACAAGCCTTTACAGACACGATTTTAGGACGGAAAAGCCAGAATGGCCAACTTAAAATTTACGCAGAATGATTAAAAAGAAATCGGTTCTAGATTTTCATACTAGAAATCATTCCCAAAATTTGAAACTGATCCCTCAAACAGTTAACCTGAAAATGCATAGACAAGACTTTACAGAAAAGATTTTAGGACAGAAAATCCAAAATGGCTGCCTTAACATTTATCCAGAATGCCGAAAAACTAATCAGATCTAGATTTTCATATGAAAAATCACCCCTGAAAATTTGAAAATTATCCGTGAAATGGTCATCCTGAAAATGAGTATACGAGACTTTACTGACACAATTTTAGGACGAAAAATCCAACATGGCCACCTTAAAATTTACCCAGAATGCCAAAAAATTAGTCAGTTCTAGATTTTCATACTAAGTATCATCCCTGAAAATTTGAATTTGATCTACCAAACGGTTCACCTGAAAGCGTGTAGACAAGACTTTACAGACAGGATTTTAGGATGGAAAATCCAAAATGGTTGCCTTGACATCTACCAAGAATGCCAAAAATCATCAGTTCTAGATTTTATACAAAGAATCATCCATGAAAATTTGAAATTGATCCATTAAACAGTTAACCAGAAAATGCAAAATGGCTGCCATGACTGAGCTGACAGGTCCAAAACCTAATCAGATGTAGAATGAAGTGAGCTGAACAAGATTTTAAAGTTTTAAAAGCAACTGTAAAGCCGTTTTCCTAAAGTTTGCAGACAAGGATTTTAGCATTTGACTTCAAAATGGCCGACAGGAAGTAGGTATCGAGTAAAAAAATTTTCATCCACATTTGTATGCACTCCTAAGTTATCCCTGAAAATATGAAGGCAATATCTGTAGCGGTTTTGGAGAAAACTGCCGTATGTACGGACTGACAGACAAGCCTAGGCCGACAATATGGCCCCACACTATGTGGTGGGGACATAAAAAAGTATTCAGGCATTGGCAATGGCATGCACCCTAATATCATGTGGTCTTTTCCTCCCATTTATTTACTCCGTGCAACCCTATTGGAATATGGCATTGGAAGCATATCTTCAGGGTGACCCAAAAAACAGAACCCTTTAAAAATGTCATGATTTCTTAAAAACCTATCCTATCAACCCAATTTTTTATGTGCATTAAGTAAAATATATGGATCATATAAAAATGATATTCAAGTTGTTACATAAAATTAATTATTCCTGATATCATGGATATTCTTAGAATGTGTCCAATTTTCAAAAAACAACACTAAGACAAAAAAATCGTATCATGAAATTGTGAGAGAAATTCATAAGAAAATTCCAAAGATGACGAAATCAAAGTCTCAGTTAATATTTTAATTGATAAATGAATAGGAGGCAATTGTAAAACACTAAGAAAAAATCAGCTGACCAAAATTCCTGGCCTCTGAGCAAAAACACCTCAAACGCTGTACAGAATTTAATTGCCTGTGCTGTCAGCTTACGATTTGTAAATTTTGTGTACGATTTGTGACAACTTGACCCACTATTTTATGACCAACTCATAAATATGAATAGTAACTGCTACTTATCATATTCATATATAATAATAAGTTGACCATATAATAGGGTCAAATCATTAGCCAGGAGTTAAATTTGCAATTGCTTGCAAAAACTGTTTAAAAGTAATCGGTTCATTGTACAGAAATCCAATGCATAAAAAAGTCAGGATTGATGAGCTTTTTGTCTGTTCGTAAATTATATAAACTTATTAAAAAAACATGTCTTTATTGTTATAAATGAAATAAATCTGATATCAAATAATCACGTATATGTGGAAATCTTTTTAATGCATTAATACACTTGTTTTTCATCTGGAATAGTTTGTGGTTAGATAGTCAATTTATTCCGAAAAATAAATTTAGGAAATATAAAATTATAGTATCAATTTACAGTAAGTTGGTGTCGGGACTAGGTTGTCGCAGTCGATTTTGCAACAACCCTACTAAATACATCTGTCATATAGACTCAATCCTATTGGCCTTTTCACTTCCTTTTTTTCACATTATTCATTAACTCAGGCAATTCATCAGGAATGCATCTATATAGATGAAGTACCCATTTACATTGTAGAATTGAGTGTATCATTTATTACCTAGGCCAGTCCTTAGCTAATGCTGTCCAGTCCACCTCATTCTCATCAGCAGCCCCAGTGTCAGCTAACCTTAATTCAAACACAAGTTTAAGGATTATGAGTGCCAACCTGAATATACAAGTGTAAGGATTATAAATGCTAACCAGATTATACAAGTGTGAGGATTATGAGTGCTAACCTGAATATAGAGGAATAAGGATTAAGAGTGATAACCTGAATATACAAGTATAAAGATTATAAATGCCAACCTGAATATACAAGTATAAGGATTACGAGTACTAACTAAAATATACAAGTGTAAAGAAACTAGAAGTATAAGGATTATGAGTGCCAACCTGAACATACAAGTTTAAAGATTATGAGTGCTAACCAGAATATACAAGTGTAAGGATTATGAGTGCTAACCTGAATATAGAAGTATAAGGATTGCGAGTGCTAACCTGAATATACAAGTTCAAGGATTACTAACCTGAATATTCAAGTGTAAAGATTATGAGTGCTAACCAGAATATACAAGTGTAAGGATTATGAGTGCTAACCTGAATATAGAAGTATAAGGATTGCGAGTGCTAACCTGAATATACAAGTTCAAGGATTGCTAACCTGAATATTCAAGTGTAAAGATTATGAGTGCTAACCAGAATATACAAGTTCAAGGATTACTAACATGAATATTCAAGTGTAAAGATTATGAGTGATAGCCAGAATAAACAAGTGTGAGGATTATAAGTGCTAACCTGAATATACAAGTATAAGGATTATGAATCCCAACCGGAATATACAAGTGTAAGGATTATGAGTGCTAACCAGAATATACAAGTGTTACAAGTGTAAGGATTATGAGTGCTAACCTGAATATGGACATATACATACTAGACATAACATATCATTTGTGTGTTTTCAAAAAGAAATAAACAGAATATATAAATGTACGGATTAGGAGTGCTAAGCTGAATATACGAGTGTAAGGATTATGAGTGCTAACCTGAATATACAAGTGTAAGAATTATGAGTGCTAACCTGAATATGGACATATACATACTTGACATAACATATTATTTGTGTGTTTTTAAAAAGAAATAAACATAAAATATAAATGTACGGATTATGAGAATATACAAGTGTAAGAATTATAAGTGGTAACCTGAATATACATGTGTAAGAATTATGAGTGCTAATCTGAATTGAGATATACAAGGGCGAGAAGGTTTGCAACATTTGTGAAGTACAGGGTGAAACAATGACACCCCCTAAAACTACTTCAGAATACACATAATATCATATCATCTTATTAGTCTAAATGAAAACATTAAGGACTTATCACTGAACCTTGTTTTGGAGTATATACAATATTTTATTGCATTTTTTGATAGACATGTCCTGGCCAAAAAGCCACAAATATGCAGTAGTAGTAGGTTGAACATTATCTCTCTGAAAAATACAGTAATTATGAAAAATAAGTCATTAAATCAACACTACTGGAACAATGTAAACTATATGCAGTAAAGATTGTCTGATAACAGGTTCATCTTTGGTGGAACAGAAATTTGGTATCATTGTAAAGCTAAGAATGTGCAGAATATGGAATCAATTCTATTATAAAATATAAATGTGTTATAAATGGATTTAATTGCACTAATGCATATTAATTAGCTTACTAATTAACATATATATTTTAATTCCTTTTTTACATTAACTCAATTTGATTATTTATGCAATATAATACACTATGCTATCAGTCTTAGCTTGTATCCGCAAATGCAACTAACGCCGTCGGCTAATGGATTAACCTAATTTTTTATGGGCAACTCATTTAAATATGAATAGTACCTGCCACAATTCCATTCATATTTAAATGAATTGGTCATAAAATAGTAGGCTTATCCGGTAGTCGCTAGCTGTTAGTTTCATTCGCAAATGCAAGCTTATATTTTACTCTTACTTCAAAAGGTGGTATTATTTAATTAATCTATTGTCACCTGATATAATTGAACCTAAACATATACAAGTATTACATAACTTCAAAATATTTCCAAAACAATTACCTTTAACATGTAATAGCAGATAGACTTGAAATTACACATTCAGTATTAAAACAACTTTGCTTATAAAATCTTTTATTTTACTTTATTTAACTGAAACTAGAAAAACAGCAACTCCACGGAGTAGCAAATCCCACCGAACAAAACATGTTTTGATAAATAGCAGCAACATAAAACTTGAGCCAAATTCATCCACTGGTATTTGAATTATCAAAGATTATGTTTTTGTGAAACATGGTTGCCATTTTGAAATTCTGCAGTCATCTTTAGATTTCTTCTTTAGCAGAGCTCCTATGTCCCAAGGCATCAGCATATAGAATTTAATCCAAATCAGTCTACTGGTACTTGATTTATTTAGATTACATGTTTAATGAAAAATGGCGGAGATTTTGATAAATAGCAGCCACCTTGAAAATTTATTCTCAAGCAGAACTCCTTTATCTCTAGGCATCAGTATATAAAATTTGAAGTAAATCCGTCTAATGGTATTTGAGTTATCAAAGATTACCTTTTTTTATAAAAATGGCAGCCATTTTGAAATTCAGCTGACGCCTTTGAGATTTCTTCTATAGCAGATCTCCCTTTTCCCTAAACATCAGCATATTAAGTTGGAACCAAATCCATCCACTGGCCATTTTGAAATTCAGTGGCCATCTTGAAAATGTCTTCTTGAGCAGAACTTCTTAGTCTCTAGGCATCAGCATATAGAATCTGAACCAAATCCATAAACTGGTATTTGAGTTATCAAAGGTTACGTTCTTTTATGAAAAATGGTGGCCATTTTGGAATTTAGCTGCCATCTTGAAAATCCCTTCTTGAGCAGAGCTCCTATGTCCCTGGAATCAGCATGTAAAATTTGAACCAAATCCGTTGAATGGTATTTTAGTTATCAAAGATAACGTTTTTTTACGAAAAATGGCCGCTATTTTGAAATATGGCGGCCATTTTGAAAATCTTCTTGGGCAAGGTTCTTTTGTACCCAGGCAACAGCATATAAAATTTGAACCAAATCGATTCACTAGTATTAGAGTTATCAAAGATTATATTTTTCTGAAAAATGGCCGCCATTTTGAATTTAGTGACCATATTGAAAATTCCTTCTCGAGCGGTGGTCCTACACACATAAGGTATAAAGCCTATAAAATTTGATCAAAATCCGTCAACCGGTATTTGAGTAATTGCCTGGACACACAAACGGCCGGACGAATGGAGGGATGGATGGACGAACGGATGGACAAACGGCTTTTCTATATCCCCTCGAACTTCGTTCGGTGGGATAATTATTTAATCTAGTAATTTACATGATCAAGGAGGGAAATTAGTAATTATATCAAAAATGTTATAAAAACAAGACATTAATGTCAATGATGCAATTCTTACATAATCTGGAACAATATCCAATCATCACATCTTCACTTGTATCTAAAATTGTTTGCAATAACCTCATGTCTTGCTAATTCTGTCTGTTAATGTCAATTAAGTTGACATTTGTTTTTGTCACTAATTTGCCTGTATGAGCCAAGAGTCAGCAGGATTAAATATTGATCATAAAAGAGTATTCACCTTTCCACAAAGTCAGCTCATGAATATTATAATTAGCAAATCTAGAATCTCTGACGTCAGAGTAGGGCAGATTTTCGCGGCAAAATCTGAACACATTACAAGTCAATGTGAATCGCGACAGAGACGGGCTCATTTAATTGTTGAATCATGGTGAGTACTTAATAATCTGTATCATAAATGTGCTGGAATCTCATTGATTACACTCTCGTTCATATTCTCCCTTCATTATACTGTTCTGAGAAATCAAATGAATAGAGTAAAATTGATGTGAAGAGTCCAGTGTTTACAGCACATTGACCCTGATATGTACTTCTTGACTGTCAACATACCAGTGACTACTACACTGTAATAATAAGCTTGTGCTATATTTTCTCATATGGTTAGGTAAAATAGATACTAATTGATCAATCAACAGTAAAAACATTGGTATTATTTACGATTCGATACCTGAGCCATTTGGTCTTCTTACCCCAACTGCAACCCCGACTTTAGGAAATGAGGTTCAATGTGAAAATTGTATTTCAAAGACTTTGAGTGAAGCAAGCAAATCCTTAGAAATATTGGTATTGACTGACGAAATAAGCAAGTTGAGAAATGAGATTGACAATCAGAAACTAGAAAAGGCAAAATTGATGAAATCTGAGAATGTTGATATTGATGAAAGTAAAACCGTGTGTGATAGGTTACGTGAAGAAAATGAGGCACTGCGTGCTAAGGAATTTACATTCAATAATTTAAAGGAACAACATGTTGCATTATATACCTGCTTTCCAAATAAGGCTATATACAGAACCCTACTTAAATTCTTAAATCCAGGTAAAGATGGTGAAAACATTGCGGATCGTAATTCCGAGAAAAAAATGCACGACAAGAAGAAAAAATCTGGAAGACCACATAAGCTCTGTGTTGAGGATGAATTTTTACTTTGCCTCTGTAGAGTCAGGGTTGGAATGTTTGAGCTCGACTTAGCAGTAAAGTTCGGTAAATCGAAGTCCACAGTTTCTCGAATTTTTCTCAAGTGGGCGAATTTCCTTTATGTAACACTAGGATCAATGAATATCTGGCCTGATAGAAATGATGTTAACTTAACGATGCCAGGGTTTTTCAAGGAGAAATATCCTAATATACTGGTTATTCTAGATGCATTTGAAATTAAGTGTCAAATGCCAAAATCGCTAACTTTCAAATCAAAACGTACTCCAACTACAAAGGTACCAATACGCTTAAAGGTCTCATCGGAATCGCTCCTCAGGGTAGCCCTACGTTCGTCAGTTCACTATACCATGGTAGCATATCTGACAGAGAATTGACCGAGCGTTCTGGCTTTTTAAGACTGTCGTTCAATAAAAACGATGATGTTATGGTGGACAAGGGTTTCTTGATAAAAGATTTGCTCGATCCACTTGGCGTGAACTTAAATATTCCCCCTTTCCTTGGCCAGAACGATCAAATGGATGCCAATGATGTGTATCAAACACAGCAGATTGCTGCAGAAAGAATACATGTAGAACGTAGTATCAATAAAGTGAAAAATAACCACATCTTTGATCGAGCAATCCCGATCAATCTTTTCGGATCTATCAATCAAATCTGGGCTAACAGTGCGTTACTTTGATAATGGTTACATAAGTGATGATTAATTTCATTGAACAATGTTAAAGTTGTTTTATTGAGACAAGGTTTCTAGCTGTTTTTCCTACGATCGTTTATTTGAATGAGATTTACCTCTTAAAATCCCATGGGCGTCATTTTTAAATATAGAACTGCTGAGAGAATATTCACGATATTTATGGACGTAATACCTTCAAGGGAAAAGTTCTATCTGGTAATTGCATTTGCAATTTTAAAAATACAAGCTATGATGTATGACTATTCGTTACTTCAAATTGCATCTAAAATGAAATAATAGTCCACGACCCACCATCATGAGTTTGGAAATTGTTTATTAGGTTTGTGCAAGCATGAGAAAAATATCATTAGCCTCTGTTACTTTACAAACTGTTCTTCATATGTTATATTTTTTTATAGAAACATAATAATGTATTTGAATATTTATGTTAAATGAATATTCCTATAATATGCACAGTCTTGTCTGAAAGATTGTTTGTCTTTGGTACGGTAATTGGATTCAATTTATTAGAAGACCAGCACTCATATCACAAATTATTCCTATGGTTTCATTTATCGGGTAGTGTATTTAAGACATGCCGTAGACAAAAAATTCTAGTCAGAAAAGGCGCATCATCACCAACGTGCAAAAGTTAATGTTTTTGCTATAAATCGGTCAACAATGGTCTACACGACCTGTAATAAATAGGTATAAGAGACGTTATTATCATAATACTAATGACATTGCTCACTTTTTAAAGTTAGTTTCCATGCGTTATACAAAAAATAATCAAAATAAATTAATTTGGGATGGAGGGGGATCGGATGGAGGGGGGGATCGCGTGTATATAAGACATGATCAGACAGGCTACTTAAATTTATTCTTACCATTCCAAATTTTCCCATTTTTCATTCTCCAGAGATATAATATCCAGGGGGTCATTAACAGAACTTTCTTAAAGTTACGAATTTGTAATTCATAACTTTATGAAATTCGTAAATATTTAAAAAGTTGCGAATGACTTACGAATTCATAAAGTAACAAATCGGCCATTAACAGAACACTTTCGTATGTCATTCATAAGTTTTATCGTTCGTAAACGAATTTCAAATTGTGACGTCATCTTATATCATTATTTAGCACAAATAAAAATGTGATGTCATTTGATATCAATGCGCGCTGTGATTAAACCTGTCTCCGCGATTTCAAAGATTCCAAGCTCAGGAACATATTTGCTTATCATGTAAGAATAGGTGGATATTTTAGCTTGAAACTTAGCATGCATATAAAGAACAATTTCTTTTTGCCAACCTGTGTACCTTACATAAGAACTGGATGAGAAATATGCCATTCGCAAAGTTATGAAAGGGTCTGAGGTGCTATTAAAGTTACGAACGAAAGCATACGTGACGTCATTTTTTCATAACTTTGCGAATCGCTCGTAACTTTACGAAAGTTCTGTTAATGCACATTTACCAAATTCGTAAAATTAACAATTGACTTGCGAATTCGTAACTTTGCGAAAGTTCTGTTAATGACCCCCAGTTTCTTACTGGGGAACTGAGTTTAGTTTTTTCAAATACACGAGTTCTTGTGAATTTTTTCCATCGTAAAGATATATAAATCCCCCCTCCATCCGATCCCCCCTCCATCCCAAATTAATTTATTTCGATTATTTTTTGTATAACGTATGGAAACTAACTTTAAAAAGTGAGCAATGTCATAAGTATTGTGATAATAACGTCCCTTATACCTATTTATCACAGGTCATGTAGACCATTGTTGCCCGATTTATAGCAAAAACATGGACTTTTGCACAGTGGTGATGATGCGCCTTTTTTAATAGATCTCATATCTTAGAAGGGTATCAGTTCAAAAAAAATACGAGGTGACCTAACATATTTTGCCATGCACTGCGCCTATTCATTTGGCAATTCAGTTGTAATTTTTCTCTTGAAAAAATAAATCTTCCAAATTTGTTGAGTTTTCTTGCAGAAATCGCCTAATCCCCCCCTCCATCATTTTTGAACGATCACCGGGCGTGATGATGTATTATGAAATATAAAAAAGAAAAAAAAAGTCCCTGGGACTCAGAATTCAAGTGCCTAGCGCGAACACTGCTGCATATTTGTCAAATCTTCATCAGAACACATCAGACCAACATATTATGTAATAAAAGATTGTATATACTCCAAAATAACCCCCTTCTGGCTTTCTTCTAGACTAAGAGAATTCAATTTTGGAGTAACCATTATAACTAGAAATTGGCAACTCCACTGAGTAGCAAATCCCAACAAACAATATATAAATCATGAATCTGTACAGTGAGTCACAATGTAATATTTACCAACTACTCTTCCCTTCAATAAATACTTGAGATTATTGTAGTATCATGTAACCATTCTTTAAAGATATCTCTAAGTAATGGCGAATTCTTGCTCTAGGCAGTCATTTTGAATTTTCTGAGGCACAAATCAGAAAAACAATGCCATAATTGTGATTTACTCTTTCCTATGTCCTCCTCGAACTTTGTTCGGTAGGATTATAACAGTATATTGTTCACCTAATTGATAATGTTATATTTAAAGGAAGCTACCTTGTAATTAACTGTATATCATCATCCCTTGTCCATTCTGTTCCCCCATTCTGTCTCCAGTTAAGATAGTTCAACCACTTTGTGCGGCACTGTTTCTCTGATCTAGTTCCCACTCTCTCCGCAACACTTGCCCATGATAGACCACTGGTCACATTTACACCTATAAAATGGGAATAGGGGAAAAGTGTGAGTAGTGTTATGCGTATTACTATGTGTTTCTAAAAATATATTCTTCAGTCTACTAGCTGTAACTCAAGAGGCAACATCTATAGCAAACATCTACTAAGCTTGGGTTGCAGTTAATAGATTCAATGCTTTGCATTAGATGCTTGTTTTGTATATCAATAAATATGAAGTTGGAACATCACCTATTTAGTTAATTGTCATCATGGATTATTCCACACGAGCAGCGAAACGTGTAACATTGGGGGCCAACAAGCTGGGAATCACGGTAACTCTCTGGTGACATAAAAAATCTTCAGAGGGTGCGAGATGATAGAGAACATTGGCTGTGATTTTCAACCATTTGCAACAGGACAGTTAACTAGTGCAAAAAGTTATGTCAAGACAATTGATCTACCTTCACATTAATGCACTTGCCAATCTCGTCTAAGGAAAGGGCTTGATCCTTACATGAACAACTAAAGAAGTTGCTGAGCTACGAGGGAGAGGTACATGAACATTGACATGTTGAAAATTTGCAACTAGGAAGTAAAGTAAGCTAAACTCTTTGAAAATTGACAGCTATTGCTCAAAACATGAATGGCCCACAAGACCAGACCCTAACCAGAGTGTCGATTGGATTTACTGAAAAAAGGATCGGTGATTTTGCGAAGTCTTTTTGCTACCTCCACTGAGACAAATGTAAAAACAGAAGTCTGGATTTCCTTGATTGACATATCTATGGATGTACGTGATTTCAATTGGATGAACATTTCAATTCTATCGGAACAGAGGCAATGGTCATTTTTGGAACTTCTGAACTCATCAGCGTGATTAACTGAAAAGTTCAAGAATCTGACAACTGATCATGGCAATCTTTGCCAAACTATCCTGTCTACGAAATGATATTCTGTGCACTGGACATCCGAGCAGTGAAAACAGACTAGTGAGGAACAAAGAGGCCAAGATAGTAATCGAGTACTTTGCTTAATATGTTGGTGTTGCCTAAGAAGGAAACCATTCGGAAAAGCCTGTACAGTGATATCAATTTTGATTATCTAGGCATAATTAAGTATCTAGTAATGGGGTTTGTAGAAAAAACCGGGTACCGAATAGTAAATCCTCCATGATGGGTTCAAAATTGGTACCCGTTACCCGGTCTAAAAAAACGGGTACCCAAAAAAACGAAAAATACGAATCTCAAAAAAATGTACTCAAAAGTATATCAAGAGGACAGTTAAACCAATCAATATTTTCAGACATTTTTTGCATGGTCATGTAGCCAAAACATTAAAGTTTTCTCCCCAATACACCATATTTAAGTCTTGTCTTTTTGATGCTTTAACCCTTTACACCACATAATCGATGTAACCTCATATTTCGATGACAGCCTGTATCCTTACTGCTACATTGTTCATCACATTTGTAGTAATTCCGATGGAATGTTTTGGATTTCTCTTTGGATGCTGCCTGCTGCCCTTAAGTTGTTCTAGGTCTTTTTTTGCTTGGAATGAGCATTAGAACACTCCTTCAAATAGCCACAATGAAAGATGTTTGAGGATGACAATGACAGAACAAACACAGATAATCAGGTCAATTATCGGCAAATGATTCAGGAGTTACCTTTCAGAGTTAGGCAGGCTAGTATGACGGGGTGGTTTTATATAATTTCTGTCTATGTATTTTATTCATTGTTCTCTCTTGTTAATTAATTACTAACTCTTAATTTAGAATTTGGTGAGAGGTCTTTATTTTCCATGTTATAATTTTGAAGGTTAGGCCGAAACTCTGCCCAACAATACAAGTCAGCTGGTTTCCCAGACACCATGTGACAAATTATAAATTCATATTTCTGATTACATAAAACTTACTACAATACAAATGACCACTTGAATTTTAACAGATATTTAGGAAGAAGTCTGAGAATATTTTAATGACCTAAATCTAATTGCTGAGTTAATGAGTACATCTTTAATTACAAAACTTAAGTTGACATTATTTTAGCAAAAGTGAAACAAAAAGTAAACATCAAATAAACAATAAAATCCCCTCGTGATACTAGCCTGAACACCAAATGAAAACACAGTGGTCTCAAATTGATACACACAACAGAAGCTACACTAGAAACCCAACCAATTCAGTTTCTTGAACCTCTGACCTCTTTGTATAAGGGCGCTATAAGACATTGTGAGGGCCTCCCTATTGTATTGTATTTTGTTTACTACCAATGAAGGTAATTAACATGGAAGATAGACCCAGAAACCCCTCCTTGAAGGAGCCCTGTGTTCTTTTATGTGCACTTATACATAGACATACAAGTACACACCACAGCCTTTTGTACGAGTTGCGGACCACTCAGTCAAACACCATGAAGTACTTCACGCAAACAAGCAAATTTAGTCTTGCCTGAACCGGGGATTGAATCCAGGACCTATTGCGTAAGAGGTACCTGCGCTACCGCTGAGCTACACGGGTGGACTATTCACCATATTTGACGGCCCATACTTTTTTCTCTGAGGCTATTTAAAGGACCAATTTATGCTAAACCCAAGCTAAGAGACCTAGAACAACTTAAAACAAGCATCCGAACAGAAATCAAAACATTCCACCAGAAATATCAAATGTGATGAACAATGTAGTAGTAAGGATACAGATTGTCATCGAAATATGAGGTTACATTGAATATGTGGTGTAATAGGTAACGGGTCAAAGTATCAAAAAGGCAAAACTGAATTAAAAACTCTATATAAGGGAAAAACTTTCATCTTTAATCTACAAGGCCATGCAAAATATGTCTGAAAATATTGATTGGTTTGTCTATGGTGTTGATCTACTTTTGGGTACATTTTTTGAGACACCCTATATAACATAATTAGATCATTAGAAAATGTGTAAGATTTGTTTTGAATTTACAAAAATGTATGTAACTTCCTTCAAAGGAGCACGTAGGTTATCGCAAACAATTTCAAACGATTCTAACTTTGAATTATGAATGTTTTCTGATCATGAACATGGGTGTATCTTTTAGATCCATTCATTACCTTCAAGAAAAGTAAATGTAATGATAATTTAGTTAATCAAACTTAAGTGATATTGAAGGGGCAATGGACCAATCAACATACTTTTTCAAAAAAGTTGACCCAAGTTTCACCAAAAATGCAACCTTTTTTTTATATTGTTGAATGCATAACTAGAATGTGCTTTGGGACATGTTTGATTTCCTAAAAAGAAAAGTTGATTGCTCCAGGGACTTCAAAGATACTGAATTTGGATGACCAAAATGAACTGAAACCAATGGATAACAAGAGATTTTTCAATGGAGAAATAACATGGGAAACACTTATCTTAAAGCAATTAAATTTTTCTTTCAAGAACTATTTCATGAGGGGAAAGTGTACCCGTGTATATACAACCTACCGCCGAGCAAAGACTCGAAGATGTCTGAAAATGTAGGGGATAAGTCAATAAACTCCTGTTTTATATTGAATTTCTCAATATGAGAAATAAATAAAACACAAAATTGTTTGTAACCGATATAATTGTTGTTCCAGGCACTCACGTTTAGAAAATAATGAGTACTTAATGCAATATTTACTATCAAATCGCTAAATTCAACTTCTAAATATTAGAATCAGGTTTTACAGTAGGTGCAAATATATTACATTTGTTACACTCCCATACGTTGCATATCATTGAAAACACCAGTGAAAGTTGAAAATGAAAGACCCGATTATACCACGAGTACGATTCAATAGGACCCGATGCTACCGCCTGAGTATTCCGAATTTACCATGAGTAAAACGCGATGAGGTAGTGAGTAAGCTTTCGAATGATCATATAATAACATGAAGTATATCATAAATATTCCTGTTAATATGATATAATTCCCGCAGCACTATATGTCAACGTCTGTGTCCCGCGAAGTTCTTTAAAACATTGAATTCATGCTTTCACTCGAATCACCATAATTTTCATTGTTGATGATATCACCACTTCTAACTGACTATGCTCATAATCCAATGAGTTTGGTACGTGTTATTTTGTATCTACCAAGACGGTAAACATATGAAAAATAGTTATATATTTTGATTGGTCTAAAATGTGCAAAGTTTACCCATTATGCTCATTCGATCTTAATATTGAATAAAATAAGATATCAGTAGAAAGGCTACTAAAATGAAAAAGATTGACCAGTAGAGACACATATTCATTTCTATCCATAATTATGGATAATAATTGATTTAAATGCAATTCATTCGCTCTCAAGTTTGACTAAAATATCAGTACAACAGCTCCTAAAATGAAGAAAGATCATATTCATAACTGATTTAAACGCAATTCTGTGCTTCTCCTATCCTCCAATGTTGATAGCCTAATTTCTGTTATGTCAGTCTGGGTCAAAATGTTACAATAGTGTTAACTAGATAACGGCAACTCCGCGGAGTAGCAAATCCCAACGAACAAAATATCAATTACTGAATTCCAATCAATTATACTCATTATTTTGGTTAAAATTGAAAAAATTAGATTTTAGAATTGCGAATTCCTGCAAAGCAGCCATTTTGAATTTTCTGAGGTACAAATCTGAAAAATTATACCATAATTGTGATCTACTCCAAAATCCCTTCAATATGAGTATAATATAGCCATACTTTGAAGGGATCGAAAAATTATTGCGTAATCATACATTAGACGGCCATTTTGAATTTTACGAGGCTCGAATCAGAAAAAAGATACAATATTTGCAATCTACTCTTAATTGCTTTTCATTTGAGTGTAATAAAGCTATACTTCAGAAAGATCTAAAAATTAGCGAAAATTTCTGTTTTCCTGACCCCCCATACAGGGCCCCTGGGGGTCAGGATGAAAAACACGGAATATATGTGAAATAGATAAATGTTGTGAATATACTACAAAAATTTCAAACAATAATATTAATTACTTTGGTTTAGAATGAAAAATTTATGATTTTTGCGAAAAAGTCCCGTCATTTTTAAA